AGCTCTGACTGTACCTACAGGTGCACAGGAAGTCTGGTCAAAAACCCAGTCGCGACTCCCTGAAAACAGTTCCCTTTTTGTGCCATCTGCACGCGCCAGGGCTCGCTTCTGCCTCCGTTTCGCGTGCATCCTGCAGACCGCGCCGATCCTAACTACCCAGAAGAGCCAAGAGCCATTAATTCAGGAATATGACTGAGACTGAGACATACTGAGACTTTGTTGGGATCCTGTGGACCTATCCAGTTTACTGCGAACCAACAGCGACTTAAGGTATACTCCTTCATCAAAGGCATCTGGGTTTCCTGGGTGTGACTACGACGGTGGATCTTGGAAGGAGCAACAGAAGAAACACGCAATCAAAACTCTGTGTCTGACAGGGCAAAATCCACAAGTGTCCGACCATCGCCGGCCTTCAGGCCTACAAGGCGGATAAGAGCGAGTGTCCAAGTCAGACTGCGACGTCACGCCCAGCCTAACGGCTAAACTCAAGTCGTCTGCAAAAATGTGCATTTCTGCCTGGCCCTGCTCCCTTGCTCTTGCTTCAACTTCAACTCTTCGCACTCATGACAGAAGTCCAGTGGCTTGGACACAAGGACATTTCAGAAAATAGGGCACTGATTTTGAAGCCTACTGAATATTGAATAATCGGATCCTCATACGGGTCCCTAACCTAAACTAGTTAGCCCTATTTTCTGGAACTACCACGAAGCTGGAACCCCCTGCCCCGAAAGGTTGGGGGGCGGATGACTTCTGCCTAGTCTTTCGCATGCCCGACTATACTATGCATAAAGGCTATATACAGGGTCGCGGCGAGGGTTTAAGAGTTTAGGACTTAGGGGTGAGGGTAGTTGCAGCATCCCGGACAAAATTTACGATGCCACCCGCAAGCTCTTCAGCTGGCAAGAACGTCCCCAGCTCCACCTGCACCCTTTCTTGCCATGTCATCAAACAGCACGGTGCCTGATGACAAGCCACGGCAGAAAGTCCTTCTAATGCTTGCAACAAGCGGAAGAAAGAATGCTAGGGAAAGCTCTGGCACCTGCTGCTCCCTCACCAGCTGTCGCTTGGTCGCACACGGGCCATGAAACACTTACCGGATCTCTGGATCGGATCGGCTCACACGCCGGTGAAGGCACTGATCATGCCCTGCCAACAAGGCGGCGCGCACTCCCGGTGCCGCTTGCAGGGACTCTTGCGTGGCACAGTTGTTCGAATTGAGTAGAAGTTTCCCTTGCTGTGGCAGAAGCTTACTCAAGGCTGCCTTTACCACAGCAAGCATGTCTGCTATAATTAAGAGAAACGATGAAGGGGTTGACACGCAATATTAGAAAAGTCAATTTCGACAGCTGAGACAGAATGCACAAAGGCCTTGGCTTGCACCCCCAACCGCGAAGCGATGAATGCGTGGCTGTGCTTATGCAGCATGCATTTACTTCCCACCTTTATACGATCCCACCGACCCTACCACCTTGATAGGACCAGACCAGTCTTCAACATGTTCGCTCAGGTTGTTTCATAGCAGGCAGTTCTTCCATGGCAGTGCCAGTTGGCTGCACCAACCGTTAACCGAGTATCTAAGACAACCTACGGCTGCTTTTGTACCTGCTCCTGTGCACGGCCCCCAAACCCATACGTACACCAAAGCAGTGAAGAGCCGAAGTCATGGCAGTGGACTGGACTCCAGTCCTTGCGATGCTCCGCGTCCAGATCTGCTACCCTGCTTTGGAAATCAGCCGACCTCGCATCAAGCCGGGATACTGCACAATTTTGGATAAGTTGGACGGCGAAGGTGCCTCTTCAGATGGATTTGTGTTCACAACAACCGGAAGATCAAAAGAATCAAACGTACGATGCTGTTTGGGTACATCACCTGGCAGAATCTGCACTGATGAACTTCGTTGAACTGATCAAGCCCTGACCGCCTGACAGTGGCTCGATTGAAACCGTGACACCGCAGCATGTCTGTGAAAATCGGTGCTGTCAGCACTACAGGGCTCTTCAGACCCACCTGCTGTGCAACGACAGAGCTGAATGGTAGATCTCACCCTCCTTCCCCAGCCAGTCTCCTAGGTTGAGCTTGTTTGAAGGGTTCGTTTACGGAGCGTTCAGGGCTTGGCTTCGATAAATGGCACAGCCGAGCAGCTGTGCTCTTCGAGAACCTCCTCCTCTGCCGCTTGACTCAGCCGGGCGACTTCTGTCGTGATCTCCTGCTGCGTTGCGCTCTAATGAAGTCAAGAAGAGGCCAAATGGAATGTGACAGCGCAAAGGTGCACAACCGTCACCGAGAAGCATGAGGCGGCAACCTGCAGTGTCTCTTACACCACACTGGAGCCCGGTTATTCGACCAGGACCTGGCATGAGATGCTGTCTGCAAGTCACCAGCCGCAGCCGCCTAAGACAGCGGCAATCAAACCGGCACTGTCTCGGCATGTGCACCCCGCAAGAGCTTTTGCACTCGTGCGGTAGGCAACCGGGACATGTTGCGAAGAACACCACAGCGCACTCGTTCGGACCCCTCTCCTGAGCTGAGAACCGCTTTCCTCGGCTCCGGCATCCGACGCAAGAGAATCCACGAGCTGGTGACGAAGTCGCATTCTATTCAAGCATGACTCATGCACCAAAATTCCGAAGGCCAGAATCGGTGTCTTTCGCGGCGAAGTGCGAAAGAAGTGCAAGCCAATAGAATTACATGATCTTCTGCTTGGTGCGAGTGTTACGTTATGTGTTCACGTTGGGCTGCACAGTAGTTTCATCCAGCAGAACTTTCCATGAACCGCCCTGCACTCTGTGCTCAACCCAAGCAAGCTATGCCGCCCAGATGCTCCGCGTGTGATCAGCAAGAGTGCGTGCCTTTTCAATCTTCCTGAGATCATCTTCTTTGCCAACAGCTTCTGCAAATGCCCGTGACACCTTTAGATTTGGGCTCCAAGTGTGTTATACTTGTTATACTTGCTGGCTAGCTTTCATTTTTGTAGTGTTCAACCGGGCTAGCTGAGGAAGACCATCTACACAGTGCTACGATGCATCCCACTTCATCAGGCCTTCTGGTGCATCCGAACATCTGGCATCGGTCTTGATACGCTTGCAACCCAGTGGCAGCGTCTGCACTTTGCTGTAAATCTCTAGCCTTAATGACTCGCAGCACGGATGCGAGATAGAGCCGTAGTGGCTCCGAGCTATCCAAAATTACAGCAGGACCGTCGTGCGGGGCTATTCCGTCAGCATCGCACACACTTCCCGCATTAATCGACGTCTTTCGTTGTAAGGACTGCTTTGACATCCCAAGGGCAAACTTCAAAAAAAAACAAAGGAGCGGACATATCAAAGCTTCAGCTAAGAAGCAAGCGCTCCTGGGTGAGATCTTCTGGGATCTCTATCCCCGGAAGCATCGGAGGGAGGCCTGCAACAGCACTGAGACAATTCGACTGCGCAGCCAACTTCCAAAAAGATCTGTGCGATGAGTTGAAGTTATGAAGTTGGTTCGTTTATTAATTCAGCTCTCGAACGAAGCTCGGATCCTCCAAGTGCATCAGCCAGCATCTGCTTGTTAGCTTCCTTGGTCATCATGGGCAAGCATTGCTTCAGGGATTCAGGCACCTGCGCAAACTCATCGAATGGGCTTGGAGTTTAGTTGAGGATAGCACATGTGTAGACAGTGCTGCTATTCAGTCACTTCTCTGCTGCAAACAGCCCGGGTCCCGACAAGCCCAAAGTAGAGTGGCTGAGCCACTACTGTACATCAGCAACCGTAGCTGCTCTGCATACCTTGCAGGAAACGTATGCAGCCGAGTTGCCACGTGGCTGCGAACTTCCTGTCGAACCGTAAATCCGGCTTGAAAACATGCTTTGGGCAAGTCAAGTTCCGTCTGTGGACTTTCATCACATACGTATACCAAAATTGCTGTGGCCCTCCCAGCCACCCACACAGATTCTCTGCATAGCAGCCGGGGCAGGACAGGCAGGGCACATGAGGCCTGTACCGAGGATCATAGTCACATCCTGACGGCTGTAATCATGCTCTGTTGAAATGGGTGTTTCCGAAAATAGGGGACCCTAACATAGTACCCTAAATAGTAGGATCCTTAGTATCAGGACCCCAAAATAAGGTACCCCTTGTTTTCGGAAACTCCCAAATCAGAAAACCGCGATTCGACCATTCGGGGACCTGCCGCCTTGCAGGTGCGTTGTCTTGAAGTTCGGCTTCGAAGAAAAAACCCAAGGGCCTTCCCTGAATATCCATTGTCACAGGCGACCTGACGATTAAGGCCCTTGTGCATAGAAAGGGGACATCACTTGTCCACATTGTCAGGAGGCTGCAAAGGGATTTTTTCAGCGATACAGTCGGTGGTTGTCAGCTGGGTCAAACTGAAACCCACAAAAGCCCCTACAACAAACCCACGAAAGCCCTACACAGCAACAAGTTCCCTACTGTCAAGCCCAAAAGAAGAAGGCCTCTGCCGTCCCGTTCGTCACTGTAGCAGCAGTCTCAGCGCTACAGCCGAAAGACTTGAGGACCTCGGCCTGAAATCGGCGAGGGCTCAGTGTTTGGGGTTTCGGCGCCCGGCGCCCACTCTCGGACAAGTCAGGCGAGGTTCTTGGTGCTGAGCCGGTTGATGTGAGACAGTCTGAAAGGGAAGCCGCACAAAGGATGATACTTCAGTTCGAAAATACTCCAAGTAGACACATTGCCGCCTCCTCAAGATGTGATTGTGCGAGGAGACAGAAAGTGGGAGAAAGTGTCATCGAATGTCCAAAAGCCAGCATCCGATCAGGCATGGTTCAACGGTTTTGAGTCTCATGCTTGGTCTGTTGCCTGAAGAGTGAGACTGACATGGATGTAATCTATACACGTAACGCTGAAGGTAGACTGAGCTCCGCTCAAGCCCATTCATCAGGATGCCACAGCATGCGGCGGGCAGCCGTGACGACACTATCACCTGCGGCTGTCTGAAGACCAGCCTGCGGAAGATACTGATGTTTTGCCTTTCGGCGTGGGGGCCTCACCAGTCAAGGCCGACATGCTTGCCATTGGCATCGAACGGCTTGGATTTGCCCATGACCTTAGCAGCCTTCGTGCCGGACTCCTCGACCGCCTTGCGAGATGCAGTCTGGAGGGCCTTAGCATACTCCTCCGGTGCTGGCAGCTTCACTTCCACCGTGCCATCTGTCACACGTGTCCGGAAAGTGGAGAGGTTCAGGTCTGGACTGGTGATGCCACATCCCGTTCTCAAGTCATAGACTGTCTTGTACACTGGATCAGCCACTGTGATTGCGCCACTGGCTGGTTCACCCACCAAGCCGCGAGAGATCACTCGCACTTGCTTGAAAGGGCACAGGTTCTGGGTGGCGAACCACTTGTCCGACTCATCCTGACGGTGCGACAAATTGAAGACCGCCACCTCAGCGTCACCGTGTTTCATTGCAAGACCTCCAGCCTGCGGGAAGTCTTGAACCTTCCCGACAGGGTACCACTGCCAGCTTTCCTCCGCCTTCTCCTTGGAAAAAGCAGCTGCACCCTTGATGTCTGGCAAGTCGTAGGTGGCTGGATGGCGCTGCTTGCGCATGTTGACGTACTCCAGCTGCTCCGTGTCTTGGGTCTCCTTGGTGTTCACAAACTGTTGGAACTTCTTCTGCAGCTCCTCGTCGTAGACAACCTCCTTCCACTCGCACTTGTATGCCTCCACATTGCGCCGCATCAGCCCCTCCAGGTCTTCGCAGATGCCCAGGCAGTCATCAATGATGACCTTCCTCAAGTACTCGATTCCACCAGGAAGCTCTTCGAGCCATGGTGCTGTGCGCTGCAGATGCTTTGCTGTGCTGCAGTAGAACATGAGGAAGCGGTCGATGTACTTCAGGCATGTCTCCTCATCGATGGAGGAAGCGAAGAGCTGCGCATGGCGAGGCTTGGCTCCGCCATTGCCGCAGAGGTAGAGGTTGTAGCCAGAGTTCGTGGCGATGCAGCCCACATCCTTGCCCTGTGCCTCAGCACATTCTCTCAGGCAACCAGACACAGCCATCTTGATCTTGTGCGGTGCACGCAGGCCCTTGTAGCGGTTCTCCAGGGTGCAAGCCATGCTGACTGAGTCCTGCTGCCCATACCGGCACCATGTGCTCCCCACGCAGCTCTTCACCGTGCGCAGGGCCTTACCATAGGCGTGGCCGGACTCCAAGCCAGCATCGACCAGTTCCTTGAAGATGGAGGGAAGCTCGTGAACGGGGGCACCGTACATGCCGAGGCGCTGCGCACCCGTGACCTTCGTCCAAAGCCCATACTTCTTGGCGACGGTGCCAATGGCTATGAGCTCATCGGGCGTGATGTCACCACCGGCGCAGCGGGGGATCACCGAATAGGTGCCGGTTTTCTGAATGTTGGCCAGGAATCGATCGTTGGTATCCTGAATTTGATCGCGACCGCTCTTTAGCACGCTGTCGTTCCAGAGGTTGGCCAAGATGGAAGCGATCACTGGCTTGTCCAGCTCACTTCCGTTGCCGCCCACGGCAACCTTCTCAATGGCATCTTGGAAGGTCTTGATCTCCTTGACGCGGAAGATGTTGAAAAGCTCCTGGCGTGTGTATGGAAAGCACTCGCTGATGCCAGCCTTGACCTCCTTTCCCAGGGCCTTCAGCGTCGCTGATAGAACCTTTGGCACCTCGCCCACTGGAGTGCAGCAGCCTCCACAGCCTGTGCCAGCCTTTGTGCACTTCTTGATCTGAGGAACTGTCAAGCAATCCTTGTCCTTGATCGCGTTCACCACCTCGCCCTTGGTGACATTCAAACAAGTGCAGATGACATCGTCCTCAGCAATGCCAGTGCCGTCTCCACCATCGTTGGCCACTGCTCCTTGGCCGGGGGGAGGTCGGCGGAAAGCCAGGCTTTCAGGCTCAGCACCGCCCAAGTCGCCCTTCTTGCAGATCTGCAGCAGCTTTGGGTAATCCTTTGCGTCTCCAACGAGGACACCTCCAACCAGCTTCTTGCCATCCTTCGTGAAGCACAGCCTCCGGTACGAGCCGTCAAGGGGACTGCTGCATTCCAAGTTCAC